TTTTAAAGTTAGTAATTCTTGTAGTACTGTGGTAGACTCAGCTTCATGGCTTTGGGTTTATTGAGTTCATTTAACATAACTCCTAACTGTTGAATCTTCAGAGAGCTTAAGGCTAAGGTATAAAGGGTCACCCAACATTTAATCCTGTTCCCCAAATACAAGATGTCATATCTTCTTAGGGTCCTCTGGGTTTCTTTCTCTTTCTCTCTTTGATTTTTGAAACAGGCTCTCATGTATCCCAGGCTGGTCTCAAACTTGTTTTTCTAAATTTTATTTATTATTTTTATTTATGTGTATTGCCTCCATGTGTGTAAATGCACTAGTGTTATGCAATGCCTGTGGAGGGTCAGAAGAGGGTGCTGGGAATTGAACCCAAGTCCTCTACAAGAGCAACCCGTGCTCTTAACCACTGAGACATCTCTCCGGCCCCCTCAAACTTGTTATATAACTGAAGAAGATGACTGTGACCTGCTGATCATCCTGTCTTCACCTTCCAAGTGCTGGGATTATCAGAATATGCCATGCCAGGTCCTTTTTTCCTTGTCTTTTCTTCCATCCCTTCTTTCCTTTTTCCTTTTCTGACAGGGTCTTTCTATGTGGCTCAGGCTAGCCTCAAGTTCAAGATCCTCCTGCCTCTCTTGCCTCCCAAGTGCTAGGATTACAGAAGTGTGTCACCATCCCCAGCTCATTACTGTTTTCTGCAGGTATTTTTATCTTTTTTAAATCTTCTTTTTTAAGAGACAGTGTCTCATTTTATAGCCCTGGCTGGTCTAGAATTTGCTATGTAGACTAGGATGGTCTAGAACTCAGAGATCTGCTTGCCGGTGACTTCCAAGGGCTAGGATTAAAGACATGTGCCACCATGCCCATTTTTAATCTTTAATCACTGAAATGCATAATTTTTATTCTTGAATTTAAAAATTTTACTTCATTAGTACAAATTTCAGCTTGAAAGTTTGAAACTTTGCCTCAACTGACTCATGAAAATATACTGTCCATCTCTTAGCAGGATAGCCTTAGACAGCATATACTCTAGGGCTCAAGAGGAGTGTATATAGGATGTGAAGAGAGACAGAGAAACCTGTTTGTTAAGCTATCAGACAGGGGATTCACTAGCTCACTGTGTGTACTACGCAAACTTGTTTGAAATCTGTCTACCATGTGTACAGTCTCTGCATTAAGCACTAGTTCTGCCTACACTACTTCACCTCTGAAGTAAATATATCTGAACTACTTTAACATCTTGTCTATGTTTAGTCTTACTTATACAGTACTCTATGGGCTGATTCCTCCCTTTGAAGTCAGTGTGTTATATCTGCAGACTTCAAGAGAAAGGCTGCCAGATTTGAGACCACCCTCACATTTATCAATAGTTTACTTGCCGAGGTGTTGATTATAATAATAAATGAGACAAGCTCTCTACCTTGTCCTTGGAGAACAAATAAATGGTGTAAAGTCATTGTTCTGAGTGATGGACACTTCATATGGATCGTGGGTGTATCTTAAAGATAAATGATGTGTATCTGTATGGCCATCTCATGTGTGTGTCTCTTTCCACATGCATTCTTGTGTCTCATCGATTTTCCTCTACAATCCTTGCTTAGGGCTTCCCAGGAAAGAAAGAAAAACATGATGTTTTTTCATATCTTTTGTGCAGGTGATGGTAACAGAGAAAGCGATTCAGAGAGAACAAAGCACACTGATTGGTGATGCATGTTATGTACCTTTTGGGTCACAAGTGCACTGGACAGCTAGCTGGTCCAGGGTGAGAGACTGCTAGCTAAAGGTTAAATGGCAAATGGCAACTGATTCTTTCCAGAACGGCAGCAGCAGCTTCTCTCATGAAAGATACTATCATTCTCACTGCAAGGAGTGTGAAGTGGGAGAGGAAGAGGGAAATGGAAAAACAGAATGGGAGGGTGGAAAAAGTGGGCCCAGTGGGGTGACAGGGCCCACTCTTCTCTGACAACACAAGTGGGATGTATGCATTCCTATCCAACTCTGCGTTCTATGGTATCATGCTGGTGGCTTGGAACTGGCCATGGGAAAAGGATCTATATACTACACAAATTTGCAAATGCTCGAGGGAACCAGCTGTTGTACATTAACCAGTACGCTGCTGAGTGTACTTAGTGTATCTAGAATCTAAACCTATACTCCAATGTATTTTCCTGTTTAAGAAAAGAGGGCTTTATTTTCCTGTCTTCCAACCCTGGACATGAACTCAATTTCATGGCTCCATCTGCTTCTGCCTCCTGAGTGCTGGGATTAAATGTGTGCCCCACCATGCTGGGCTCCTATTCTTTTAAAGATGCGTCTACCACCAAAAGAAGAGAAACACCCCAGGGCTCCTCACACCATTCCTTTCCCGTCCTCTTTAGAGAGTTAGTGCAAGAATTTGCTTTGCAAGACCTGTGTCTTCCCCCAGCTTCATTAGTGCATCTCTGATCTCCTACTGGAGAAGCTTCTAGCAGCAGATTATGATTAACACAGAGACCCACAACTGGTCAACATGCAGTTCTGTGGAGCGCTCAATGGGACATTTATATCATACCCTCTCCTCCCAAGGCTCAGGAATCTTTTCAGAGGAGGGGAAGGAGAAATTGTATGAAGCAGAGGTGGTAGATAAATACAAGGAGACTGTGTTGTCTGGACACCACATGAAGAACACATATAAGACCTGTGCAAATTCAAACCAGACAGAGGCCCAGCATGGATGGCAGAAGTAGGTAGGAAGCACCAGCCTTAGCTAAGGATCTATTGGCAACTGATAGATGCTAGGGGAGGGAGAGCCAGTTTTTCTTACTGGTGTGATGCGTGGTAGGTTGTCCAGACTCCAAGGGATAGACCCACACCCAAGAGCATTTAGGAAACACAGATTAGACTTGATAGGCCTTAAAAAAAGACAAAAAAATAATAGAGGAAATGAAGTGGAGGGTAGTAAGGTGGGGTGTGGAGGGGGAAGGGAGTCTAAATATGATTAAATACATTGTATGGAATTCTCAAACCAATAAAAACTTTTATAAAGAATCTGATTGCATATTTATATATTAAACCATCTGTATCTGTATTTTTGTCTTTACTGTTTACCTCATGACTGACGTTTTCCTTTTGTAACAGATCAACTTTTTTCACTTTGACCAACATATTTGTTGCTGCTGGCCTGGTATTCATATCCTTCTGGTGACAGTCCCTTCATTTCTGACTTCATCTAGATGTTCTGATGATGTTGGCCAGCTTCTGGCTCTAAGCATAAGCAATACTCAGACTTGGCTGACTTCATGGTGAAGTGCTTAGGGGTGGGCATGTGGTCAACCATGTCCCAAGGTGCAGAAGCAACAGGGGAACACTGAGACACTCCCCTCCCCTGGTGAGTGTGAGATGGAGCTGCTGAGAGGAGATCCTACTAATTCAGCTTCAGTTCTTTCATCCAACAATGTCCACAGTCTAAAGTACTCTAGACACGAGAGATACTGAGTATAAAAATGTCTTTTAGGGTAGACTATTTGGAGTAATTTATGTGTAACCAAGAGTTCTAACTAAGCTAAATTACAATTTCAGTTAAGGGAACAAGTCTTTCCAAAGGCAGTGATCTCAGCTTTTCTGATACATATGTTGATGTTTTCAATTAAAATAAACTATATTGTTCTGACTTTGAATTTTTATAACATTTTACTAAAATATTTAATCTAAAATATTTGCTTTACATTTGTATATAAAGATACATTTAACTAAAAAACTATGAATGGAATTTATTTCAAAAAGGCCCTGGAGCATGTTAGGTAGGAATACTCTTCTTTGGTTCATTCAGAGTTTTAATTGCTTTCACCCGCTGCAAGGCTCCTCCGCAAATAGGCAGTGTTTTAAGAGCAATGTCTGTGTCAGCCAGAGGTCCTCCCAATAATCGGGCAGGAGTACTTTCCACTGTCACCACCCGACCAGAGGACACCTGAAAAAGCAAAAGGAAAAGCCTATTTATAAAATTTTTTGAAAGCAGAAAAACCCACACATTCTATGGTTTAGAACAGGAACCAAGCATAAATATGCATAAGTATGAGGCAGTGTGGCATAAGATAAAGTCAGGGCTTTGGGGCCAGGAAAGTGGACTTGAATTCTGTTGCTCATCAGCTTTGTAACCAGGGACAAATTGTGTTCAGCAGAGGTCACTAAGAACACTGGATCATAGGATAGGTTCATTTGATAGGCAAAGCAGGAATAGACTTTTCCTGAAATGAGATGTACTAAATACATTGGCCAGTTGACAGCAATTTGTTAGGAAGCCTGGAGGGATAGGTCTGCTCTAACCCAGTACTATGGAGAGGGAGCGGGAGATGAATCTGAGAGAAAAATACACCTTAATGATGGGAACTCTGAACAACTAATAGCAAAGTATATGAGGCCAAAATCTCCTAAAAATAACATTTTGGCTGCCTAAAACTCATATCTACTAAGAAAAAGATGTGGAGCAAAATAATCTTACCGTTGTGTTAAGACCTTTAATAACTGTTCGGTGTAATATTGCATTTTGTGGTCGCTCCGTGTATTTAGAAGATTCTATAGCCTTTTCCTGGAATCTTTTTGCTTTCTGAAGATTTTAAAATTAGAAATAAAATAGTATTAATTGCCAAGTAAAGCATGAGCTATTGTTCTTATAGTGAAAGTGCCAAGTACATTCAATTGTGTTTGGTTTACTCTTTGGATAGTTATTAGGCTGTCCAGAATTTGCATTTATTTGCATAGGCTAAGAAGACAGTTATTCATGCAAATTGAATCCTTTGAAGAAGACACCAGTCATCTAAAAATGTTCTGGTGATTTGCACAGGTAACGGTCATATTTGATCAGAGAATAAAGCAAGTCCTGGGGAATCCATGGTGAGTTTTTAGTTTTTTAAGTTATTAAATTTCTGCCAGACTATGAATGCTTTAAAATATGTTGCATAAATTAAATGCTAATTCCATATACTTAAATGTTATAAACAGAATAATATAAATTACATAATCTGTTGGAATTATATTCAAGTTCAATATCTGTGGCATTAAATAGATGAAAAATGAGGTAACAAAAGATCTACAGGGAAGACATTTCATTAACTACTTCTTAAACAAAGATGAGGATATTTTGTAAGTAAAGTTGAGAAGAACTTTTAGTGAAAGAGTCTTAACTTAAGCTTCTGTCTTAATATGGCCCCTCTATTTTTATGGACTAACTTGACATTTGGTAAGTCTGTGTCTAGAGGAAGGAATATAACACTGGATGAAAACATATCCAAGATATTAATGGAAAAGGTGAGGAAGAGTCATAGTTTTGGAAATCTACGGTGATTCTCACAAATTTCAAATGAACAATTAAAATTATAAACTATTTAGGTTGGTTTCTAGCTTCCAGCTGAAGCAGCTTATTGCTTTTTTTTCTAAACTGATATCTATCTTGACTTTAAATTTGAATTTGAATTTGTTTCTTTTTATAATTACAGAGGTGAAAAGCCCCTGGGGAAGAGGGTAGTACTTTTGCTTTTTCTGTTCCACATTCTGCTTTTTACTGAATGGAATCATTGAATAAGAAGGTTCAGAAGGGAGAGTGGAGCGCAGTCCCAACTTATTCCCAGTTATCATCTCATTCAGTCCAGGAACACTACTCTAAGCCAAATGAGATGCAAAGTGGCATCATTTCATTGTGAAGATTCCGATTCAGTTGTCAGCCTAAATCATAGGCAAGGATCCATCGGCGTTAGCTCTCTACAGAAAGGTTACCAAAAAAAAAAAAACCCGAAATGAATGTTCATTCTTCAGTAGTCTCTGCCCTTGAGATCTATTTGTTGTACTGTTAGTTCTTCAAAAATCTTACCTTTAATGTTTTAGCATTTGATGTTCTAGCTAAGAAATCTTCCCATGATTTGTTGGCCAGTTTTCTTTGCTTGTGTGTGGCTTGTATCTGAAATGAGAAAGAATATTCAGAGTTTCAGTTCCATGTAAGAATACCAACAGGCTAGGAAGCCCTTATTTTAAAGGAAGTACCTACCATTTACTAAAGGAAACTCCGGGGCCAACTAACAGATTAGAATATTTATACAACTTCATCAAAGAAACAAGTCTTCAAATGAGAAAAGCTTACTCATTTTGTGGTTAAAGCTTGAGCTGCTTTTCAAGAAACGCTAAGCAAAAGTGCTGTTGTAGTAATCATTTTCATCAAGACTGGCTGCTTTGCATGATTACCATTTCTGAAGACACCATAATCCAGAGAAAACTAAGTACACGATTTTAAAGCAAATTCACAGACGAAAATAGAGATTCTGCTGGCCACTAGTAATTAGTTCAGGCAAAATTATATTGGCAAAACATCTAATTGATGACTGCAACAAGATAAGCAATTTTGTGAGTGCTAAGATTGGTGTGATAATACAGTCTAGGGAGGTAACACTAACAAACAGCAAACTGTATTTCTCAACAGGTTCTCCACCAAATGTATAATCAGAGATTCATGCCCTTGGTTAATAGATTATTATACCATTAACCTTAAATACAATATCTCTAGGATTAGTTAAAAATATTGAATTAACTGCTAAAAAATGTGGGGCCCGGTGTGGCACACATCTTTAAACCCAGCACTCCGGAGGCAGAGACAGGCAGTTACCCATGAAATAAAGGCCCAGCTGGTGTACATAGAGCTCTAGGTCAGCTGGGGCTACAGGGAGACTCAGTCTAGGGACTCAAAAAACAAACAAAAACAAAAACAAAAGTAGGGACAGAGGTCTGGTAATAAATATCTAGCCAACACAGCACACATTCTGTGATCCAAAAGAACTAATAATTTATCTTTTCTGCTCTACCTCACAGTAAATCAATGGGCTTAATGGCAGTATGCATGCCATCAAAAGTTTTTACAATCAAAACTTTTGAGCATCTGGCTGTGTAAGATGGAGTAGACATTCATAGGTGAATGGACACAGCATTGTCAAGCTGTAGATACAAACATTCAATAGTCTATGTGAAAAGAACAGGGAGTAGAAATCATTTTAAGAAGCTTTAGAAACTTAATTGTAGCCATAAAGGATCAGAAAATAGAAGTGAAAAAAATCAACATCATCTTTGCATCTATGGATAAGATCATTTAAATGCCTCCTTAGTTGCTTAAAAAAAAGTAATGTTTTAGTTTTGCATTTGTGCAAAAAACTTAAGGAAATAGCTGCTATTTTCCTCACTGGCTTTTCTGTTTAGCTAAAGTCAGACCATTTTATCTCTGCATTTATTGGCACTGAGGTGAGGATGAAGCTGATTGATAAGCCTGTAGTTGGTAAAACAGTAAAGGCCTACCACAGAATGAGGGATGGAGGGTAACTTTATCTGTCTTTGAGGTTATATACTCTGTTACAGATAAATGGTCAGAATTTGTTAAAAGAATACATTTAAATAAGCAATTTTTGGAACCCTGCTGGGCATTTCAAAAAAATGGAAGTTTCTCAGGTTATCAATTTACCTTTTAAAATATATAGCCATAGAAATCAAATCATAGGGCTAGAGAGATAATATCAGTATAGTGTTTGTTGAACAAACATGAAGACGAGATCAGATCCTCAGAACCTACTTAAGAAGCCCAGCATGGTGGTATATTCCTGCAATCCCAGTGGTGGGGAGGTAGACAGGAGGACTCCTGGCACTTGCTGGCTAGCTAGTCTAGCTGAATCCCTGAGCTCCAGGTTTAATAAAAGATGCTCTTGTCTCAAAAAACAATGTGGAGTATGATTGAGGACATCGACCTCTGGTCTCCATGCTCTTTCATACACATGTGCATGCACATTTGCACACACATGAACATGTATACATGCATATACCACGTATCCACATACAGATAAAAATTATAAAGCCATAAAGCAGCATTGAAAATGGTAACTGGATCTTAACTCCATGGTTTCTTAAAACTTCACAAAGACCCTGAAAATCACTATTAGAGAGGAAAATACTTCAATGTTGAAACATTAACAAGGAAGACAAATATAGATTATAGATAACTCATTTAGTTTATACACTGAAATTACAACGTGTGCCTCAATAGCTCAGTGGTGTCCCTGCTTACTTTGGCATATACTTTTTGTTCCTTTTGTACATCTTGGCGTGCTTGGCTTTCAATCATCTCGGTTTGAAGGGAAGCAACCATCTTTCCAATATTCTCTGATGCTGCTGTAATTGATTCCAAAGATTTTTTATCTGAAGTGACTAGTCTTAACTTTTCCAATTTTATTTCTTCACATACTTCATTCCAAATTTCTCCAATCTGAAATCACAAAGTTTAGAAAAGTTAAATGAACAAAAGTAATCAAAACAATTTTAGGTAACCTTTTACATGGTGGTCATTTGTTAACACTAAGCTTTTCCTAGCTTACTTCTTGGGAATAACTAGGTGACCTGAAAATGAGAAAGGGTACCAGTTACATCTGAATATTCAGGTGAAACAGAGCAAATGGTTTCTGGTGACTCGGTGTGTTGATGGATGAGGCGCCACCACCCAGGTCTAGTTCTCTGCAGTGCTTATCGCCCTCTGGTTTACCGTTACTTCATTTTCACAGCTCCAGAAATGACTATTCATTCTCAGCTTTCTGAAGTGCCCTCGAATGAAGGTGAAATTGTAGCAGAATAAAGATAGGATTCCTGGGACTCTGGAACATGGTGATTTTGAGAAGAATGGATCCTGGTCTTCACTTTCTAGCTAAGCATATAATTTAATCTCAAGCTTTTAACTCCATAGTTTCATCATGCCAGAATCTCCATCTCACATTCTGAAATTAAGGTACTAGGTAGGGTATATTTAAAATTAGAGAAACATTTATGTCATCTAAAATAGGAATACAATTTTACTTTGCTTTCATTTGAAAATAGGATGCTTCATTTAAAACACTCATTTAAAACATCCAAATACAGTACATTAATATTAGTAGAAAGAAGATGCTTACTTCATAAGATTTTCCTGAAACTTCCAAGGCATTTATTTACTTGTGAAAATATGAGCAATGAACTAAGCAATCTAATCTCTTTTAACTGACTTGATGCAATAATGATTAATGACACAATGTAACCATAAAGAATACTTTGATTAAATACTAATAATTTGTAAGCAATTATTTGCTTAACTCTAGCTCCTAATGCTCTCCAAATAGAAGAGATTCTAGTTTTAAAAATCTGTTATGCTTTGGAATGACTATACCTTTGTAATATCTACCTTCTTTTACAAGCTAATAGATGAACTCTTACCTCATGAAAAACACCCAAGGAATGGTATGTTTCCTTAATGTAATTAGATACAAAATGGAAAATAAAAACTACACAGCAAGTGGACAATTGTTCATGGATATGGGCACATCTTATAGTCTCCAGTTATTTTTTTCCATAATAGATTTTAGGTTATTAAAATGGTACTTACTTTAAAATCAAGGTATCTATGTATGATACAGAGGGTGATGAAATCTTCAGCAGATAAACCAGGTAAATTTTCAAAATCTATCAAAGTTTATAAAGAGAGAATTGCTTTAATAGAGCAAGTGATTTCAGGAGTCCCACTTCTATTATAAAAATGAGTACAAACATTTATTTCTATAACAACCCCCCCTACCAGGTTATCCTTATACAGTCATTAGCAGAGAACTCATTCATTCTAGATTGTGACCAAAAAGATTTTACTATCAGAGGCTAAAGAATTTGTGACCTCTTTTCCCTTAACAGGAAGCAAAGATTTAAAAAAAAATTCTGATGATACAGAATGCTAATATTTAAGCCTAAACATCAGAATTAACTGCTCTTTGTCTTGTTGCATGTGGAAATTATCTGGGAAACTAAAAAATACTGCTGTTGGAGCTCCACATCCCCAAATTCTAACTTTGGATCAGTGTGGTAGCCTGGGCACTGGGTTTACGAGGGAGCATGCATGTATTTGGATAAAGGGGCTTTTTCCATGTTTGTAAAATGGACTCTGAAGCATGTGCAGCCACACTCAGCAATACAGAGATGCTCTTGCGAGTTTGAGGAGCAGCTTCTTACCTAGCTTGCCCAGCACAGCATAAATTTTTGCTCTGATATTCTCAGCAACATCCATAACTGCAATAGATGGGCAGTTAGCAGGAAGGGGCATGATTTTTTGTTCTTCTTGAAAACTGGTAAATAGAGGCTTCTTTGTATCTGATGATAATACAAAGGGGAGAGGGGAAAAAAAACCACAGCAAATATTTAATTCTGAGATTTTAGTTCATATATAAATAGTATCAAAACATATATATTAAAAAATTAGAACAGTAACATAGTGCCTTATATATACTTTATTTCTTTTTGAAGTGCTGGGAATCAAACCCAGGCCCTGAACTATGTAAGCAAGTGCTCTAGCACTGAGCTACCTGTAACTGCCAGCCCAGGGCTACTCTTTTGAAAGCAGAATCAGTAATTTCCCCCACTCTGTGGCAAAATTCAAAGCTCCATTTTTCTTATTTATGTATAAGAAAAATTACAGATATACTTTAAACATGAAATTTTAATGTAAATAACTCATAAAATTTAAAGTTCTAGAGACAATAATGTTAAACAATGATGCAACAACCTTTGATTTTTATTCCTGTGAATTACACAATAAACATGAAAACTATTTCATGATGTCCTAGTTCAAAACTCAAATAGTAAAAAAGGGATTAAGACAGAAATCACCAGAAATGGAAGTATTTTTATTTAATAATAATCATTACAGTTTTGATAAAGGCACATTAGAATATTAAAAGGTTTATAATATATAATATTGTATTACAGACTACATAAATTCTGATACTTTCAACCTCAATATAACATGGTAATTAAAATTTATAGACATAAGATTTAATTTTATTAGAAAATTTCTGTAAAAAGTCAAATGTATAAACACTAATGGTAAAATACTATACAGCTCATTTTCAGATACTTGACATGCCAATTTTTAAAAACTTAAAAATATTTTAATGATGTGTGCATGTGAGTATCTGTGTGCATGTGTGTGCAGGTGCCTAAGGAAGCCAGAGGTGTCGGATCTCCCAGGAGTTGGAGTTACAGGCAGTTGCGAGCTGCAGAACATGTTGCTAGGAATTTAGCCCAGGTCCTGTGGAAAAGCAGTACATACTCCTAACAGCTGAAATCTCTCTCCAGCACTATATCCCAGTTTTTATTGGTAAATGAAATATTATTAAACATATTTATAAATGCAGAAAGCCAAAATAAACTTATTCAAGGAATATTAATCTTTGAGTTTTGAGACTATAGTAAAATGCCATGTATTAAAATATTCTATGGCTTGATGTGGTGGTGCACGCCTTTAATCCCAGCACTCAGGAGGCAAAGGCAGGTGGATCTCAGTGAGATCAAGGTCAGCCTGGCCTACATAGTGAGTTCCAAGTCAGCTGGCGCTACAGGGAGACCCTCTCTCAAAAAAACAAAACAAAATATTCTATAAAACATGAACCCATTACTAATTTACTTAGTTTTCATTTAATTATTCATAACTTTTATTTATTTATTTGTATTTTTATTTTTTGGCTGGTCTGGAACTTGCTATGTAGATCAGGCTAGTCTTGGACTCACAGAGATTCTCCTGCCTCTGATTCCCAAGTGCATGGATTAAAGTTGTATACCACCAAATCTAGCTTATTTATTTTTTTTTGTGTGTGTCTATGTGTGCCTGTATGTTTGATTATGTTCAGGTACATGTGCACATGTGTGTGGAGGCCAGAGGACAAACTATGTTGTCATTTCTCAGGTGTGTTGTCTACCTATTTGTTTTTGAGATAGGGCCTCTCACTGGCCTGGAATTTCCAAGCAGGATAGGCCAGAGAGCCCCAGAGATCTGTCTCTGTCTCCACAGAGCTGGGATTATGCCTAGCTTTTTTCTGGGGGTTCTGTGGATTTTATGTCCTGAAAGCACTTTAATCACTGAATTATCTCCTTAGCCCTCAATTATTCACAATTTATAATAGCATATTCTTTCAAACTCTTGTTGAAAGAACTTTAGAAAAACGGGGTGAAAGTCCTCATATTTTCCTATATTCTTTAAAATTCTTTTATGATATGCCTCTAATTGTTTCTACCAAAAATTATAATACACTTACCAATGATCTTCCCATATTTATCACGCTTTACTCCTAGTTCTTTTTCTTCCTTTCTCCACAATTTAATTAAAAGACTAGCAGCTGTCTGGTCTTTTTTCCCTCTCCACGCATTGACATGAGCTGATGTTTTGGGGTTATCACAAAATTCAACCATTATTCCAAGTATCAGATTACAGAATTTTTTTTGGTTCAGCTTCACAAGGAAACAGAAAAAGAAAAAAAAAATTCTAATGAATATTAAGAATGACAGTCAAGAGAGAGAGAGAGAGAGAGAGAGACAGAGAGAGAGACAGAGAGAGAGACATAGAGAGAGAGACAGAGAGAGAGAGAGGGAGACTTGTATATCAGTAAGTTCCGTTTAAATAGGGAGTCTAACTGTGACAATGTCCCATTAAAACAGTCATTGTGGGGGCTGGAGAGATGGCTCAGCAGTTAAGAACACTGACTGTTCTTGAAGAAGACTAGGGTTTGAATCCCAGCACCCACATGGTAGCTAACAACTGTCTGTAACTCCAGTTCCAGGGAATCCAACAGCCTCTTCTGTCCTCTATGGGCATTGCACAACATGGGTGCACTTACCTAAATACAGGCATAACACTCATACACATAAAATAAAAATAATAAAATATTAAAAAAATAGTCATTGTGGGCTAGAGAGATCATCTCTCAAAATGTCCTGTAACTGTGGTGAGTCACCTGTCCTCTTGAGCAAGGAGGCCGCAAGGCATAACACTCATACACATAAAATAAAAATAATAAAATATTAAAAAAATAGTCATTGTGGGCTAGAGAATAGTCTCAGCATGTGTGCAAACATCTAAGTGTTAGTAGCATTAAAAATGTTGGAAACAGCATATTTTAAAATGAAATGGAGATCTTCTTTAAAGGGTAAAACCTCATTCAATTATATATCTTACAGGGTTTATACCGAC